TTTTATGCCTGCATACTCACCCTTTCCGAGCGATAGGCGCTTGTCACCATCGCGAAGTTCGCAGGCCTCATGCTTGACCTGTTCCAATAAAAAGTTGTCAGTGAATGATAACATCGACAAAACCCTTGGATATCGGGAGGAAATCATGTATCAATTACCAGTCGAGGCACCGGATGGGACGATAGCGCGGTGAAGGCCGGTCTCCGTCACGACATCGACCTCAACGGTAGGGTTTCCGCGAGAGTCGTAGACCGAGCGGGCATGGATCTTGGTAATCGCCATTTTCTACGTAATCTGTAGGGATTGAACAGACTGGGACAATTAGTGAACTGCTTTGAAATTACGTATAGGAGAGGATGGAAGTGTAACATCAAGATAGTGAAATGGAAGAAAAGGAGGTGGGGGTTCTGTTTCTCCTCTGCGCGGACTGCTAATTGCAACTCCACCTTAGAGCTTTCAGCAGACTAAGGAGAAGGAGATATGTCTATATCCACCAATTCCTTTGAAAAAGACCGTTGGACGGGATCAACTATTGGAGTAAATCTTTCCTGTCATTTAATAGCGACACGTTTCCTAGCGTTATTGTTGATAATGGTGGGTAGTAGTGTAGAGAGTATTATTGACGACATTGGAGGTGGGGTGGCGGGGTGGTGGGGTAATGGAAACCACAGGGGAATGAATTAACACAGTCAAACCCACTACTTACTTGCGATGATAGGCCAATTGAGGGATACGGGAATATGAGGATGCCGGGGAGGTAGCACGGTGTAGGGAGAGGAGTTGGGTTGTGGAAAGGAGAGGAGTTGAGGCTGTTGTGGTTGGGGATTTGTTTATTTATTAGTTGAATATGATGTTTTGGATGCCCCTCCAAAATAACCCGCCCAGGCCCACGGGAACCCACAGCCAAAACAAGCACGGAAGATACTAGTATTATCATGTTGAGCAGCTTGGAAGTATATATTTACTTTGTATTTCTCATGTACAAGCCCTTGCTCGGAAACCTGTTTCCCTGGGAAGACAGACTGTGAAAGTAAGAAATATATACACTCAATCAAAGCCATTGTCATTGAATAAAATTGGACAGTTTCTATCAATTAACTGAAATCGCCTTGCCATTTCAATTCAACCGCTGCTCTGCTATCATCCTCATCATCCTCATCATCATCATCACTGGCATATTTTTTTCTCTGCCCTCATGGTCTCTTGGAGGACACAAGCCCTACCCCACGTGACCCACACACTGGATGGATATTGTTGGGGGGATTGGATTGCCCTAGTGGCCTAATAGATATCCATCCATTATTAGTTGCCGCTATCCCCTCGTCTGGCCGCGAGGCACAATTAGCGCCGTTTTTTAGCGTGTACGTTGGTGTATTAAAAACGCGAAATCTACTGGATTATATGATAGATCGGCTGTATTAGCGTGTTTTTGTGTAATCTATGTAATCTATTTGATCTAGCCCTAATTAAGATATAGAATGGAACTCCTGCCAACACCGGCTTTTCAGACAGAGAGGAATATTATTACATGCAGCACAACCATATCTTGATCTTGGAGCTCTACCCTTATTCTGCTCTGCTCTCTTTCTTTTATACTGACACCAGGCACAAGCTCGAGGTCCTGGCAGAGAAATTCGATGGTGATTTAGATCTGGGTTTGATCGAGTGGAAGGTAGAGGGCTTGAGAATTCAAGGAGTTGAAGATAGAGCTGCTGGCGGAATTGAACATGAGATAGAGTAGTAGAGCCAGAGCCCGCAGCAGCAGGGCCCGGAGCAGCAGTAGGTCCCGGAGCAGCAGTAGGGCCCGGAGCAGCAGTAGCCAATCGATGAAGAATATAAGCATTGACAATTGCATGATCAATAATCCAGTATAGAATTGACAACCACGTGCGATTAGTGGGCATATGAGTCTATACATAATCTGTCCAAGAAATACCTTGATTTCTGCAGGAGTGGTTGACTGCCAATCCCGGGGATTGATGGCTGAGTTCTTTGATATCTGAATCTCTGCGTAGGCATTGGTGGAACAGGCAATATTCTGAATATCAGACTCTGAGATATAGAGAGAGAATAGAGTGTATGGATTCCGCGGATCAATATTGAGCAGATTGACAGTTGGAGGGTGATGAGGAGATTCCATAGGTTTGAATCTAATACTCTCTAGAGGTGGAATGTCTGCTAGAAGTGCACTGACAGATCGCTTTCACTTGACACCTGTTTTTGTACTGTCTAATAAAGAAATCAGTCAATCTGATTAAAAGAAGCATTGAAGAATTGGAAATCACCTGTAGAAGTCATATTTCCATCTCAGAGTGGCCAGAGTGGCCAGGGTGGTTGCATCTGCAGTGGATATGAATCTGGATCAAGATTCAAGAGATTCCAAGGTTGCAGAACGAGATAGTGGAGTAGTACCAGCAAATCAGATTACATAGAATTTAGTATGAGAAATTATTGGTTGGTACTTCAGAGCTAACAGCTTAGCTGTTACACTAATAGTATTGCGCTAATTGTGCCTCGCGGCCAGACGAGGGGATAACAACCAATCAAGGTTCAATCCTCTTACATCCATGGTCCGGGATCACATGATTGTGAGAAGCTGCTTGTTTGGTCGCTGAGAGGACCCGTATTCTTGGTTGGTGCTGACATAAACCAAGAAGAGCTCCGACTGCTTGAGGTCTGAGGTTGAGGATGATATCAACATAACACCTGCGCTCGTCTTTCTCACAGCTACTCCGTCATATCCGCAGCGCATATACCCCTATCGGCTGTGTCTTCCTGTTGTCTTCTTTCATTCCCCCGTTTCCGCCCTCCAAGCCTCCAGCCCATCCCCCAACGCATAGCAATCCTCCGCCATGGAAAGTGTTGACCCCGAACGCGAACAAGCCCTCGAGGAATACAAGAAGAGCCTTCTGGAGTCAAGAGAATGGGAAGCAAAGCTGAAGGATCTCCGGCTGGGTATAAAAGACCTTCAAAAGGAGTTTGACACCACAGAGGATAATATCAAGGCGCTGCAGAGTGTTGGCCAGATCATCGGCGAGGTTCTGAAGCAGCTAGACGAGGAGAGGTGTTAGTATTTGACCTCCTTTATCGGAGCAATGTAGGAATGTCCTCTACTGAACACACATACCGTCATGTTATAGTCATCGTCAAAGCCTCTTCGGGTCCCCGATATGTCGTTGGCTGCCGCTCAAAAGTCGACAAGGCAAAGCTAAAACAAGGCACCCGCGTCGCCCTCGATATGACCACCCTCACAATCATGCGCATGCTGCCCCGCGAAGTCGACCCTCTGGTCTATAATATGTCTCTCGAAGATCCAGGTCAGGTCAGCTTTGCAGGAATCGGTGGCCTGAACGACCAGATCCGAGAACTGAGAGAGGTCATTGAGCTGCCACTGAAGAACCCGGAGCTGTTTTTGCGTGTGGGTATAAAACCGCCCAAGGGTGTGCTTCTATACGGGCCACCGGGGACGGGGAAGACGCTGTTGGCCCGAGCTGTTGCGAGCTCGCTGGAGACCAATTTCTTAAAGGGTATATATATATTTATATATAGTTACATTCGTTGCCTCCTTAAACCTTCTTTCCTACGGCCGTTGAGCTAACCGACCCTTCCGTCTCCTCCTTCTCTTTCCAGTCGTCTCCTCCGCCATCGTAGACAAATACATCGGCGAATCCGCTCGCCTAATCCGCGAGATGTTCGGCTACGCCAAGGAACACGAACCCTGCATCATCTTCATGGATGAAATCGACGCTATCGGCGGCCGCCGCTTCTCAGAGGGTACCTCTGCCGATCGCGAAATCCAACGCACGCTCATGGAGCTCCTCAACCAACTCGATGGCTTCGATTACCTGGGCAAAACCAAAATCATCATGGCGACGAACCGGCCGGATACACTTGACCCTGCGCTCCTGCGAGCTGGGCGGCTGGATCGGAAAATCGAGATCCCCTTGCCGAATGAGGTTGGGCGGTTGGAGATTCTGAAGATTCATGCGAGTGGGGTTGCGATTGAGGGCGAAATTGATTTTGAGAGCATTGTGAAGATGAGTGATGGGTTGAATGGGGCCGATTTGAGGAATGTGGTTACGGAGGCGTAAGTTTTGACATCACCTCTGTCGTACCTCTATATGTGGGAAGTTAACACTATCTATTTAGCGGCCTATTCGCCATCAAGGACTACCGGGATACGGTGAACCAGGACGATTTCAACAAGGCTGTTCGCAAGGTTGCGGAGTCCAAGAAGCTGGAGGGCAAGCTAGAGTACCAGAAGCTGTAACGGGTGCCCTTTTCTGTTTGAACGTTCTTTAGTTTATTCTCTCCTACCTTTCACCCCATTTTTGATCTATCTTCTGGTTCAGGTCCTCCGGCCCTCGCCAGACATTTTCCACGTCCTGTAAAGTAGACTGTTGCATAAATGAACTAGACTACATTGCAATGCATTCTTAACTGGCTGGCTCCCGCATTGTTCTAGGGGTCGTTATAGCATTTCTTCTTTTCTGCTGGAAGAATACCCTCTGAGTAGCTATTGTGCGCCGTAAATCTGAAGATGGTTTATTTAGACAGTCGGGAAGGACAATCCGGCAAACACGCCAAACACAGCATCTTTCGTTTCAATTCCTTCATCTGATTTATCAAGCAATGGCTCTAACTATCTATCCTCCTCGTTTCATGAGAAAGAAATATTTTAACGTCCATCGCCGTTTATTAACCAAATATAGAGTGCTACCTGGCTCCGGCTTTGCGTCCTCTTCACCCAGGAAACCGAAACCCGAGCTCCGCAACCAAACGATCCGTGCAACGACAACAAACAAACCTTACCATGATGAATTAAAGTTACATGACCCGACATCTCCCTCCCGCGACCAGCAACCTAAGGAGTAATAATACCAATAGCCAAGGGACGAGCGAGCGGACTGCGCTGGTGTTTTTCTCTGTGCTCTCCCTGAGTGTGCAAGTATCTCCGGTTCGCGAAAACAAGTTCCTGTCGTGCCGCATCCAGTTAACATATTAACTACTTATTCTTCTCCTAAAAGAGGCTTTCTGTACCTTGAAGGATCAGGTATATATACCCAGGTTTTCGTGCTTATCGAGCAGTTTATCTTATGCGCGGTATTACTTGATTGAGAAGTCAGATCGCGGCGGCAGTGGACTGAAGGTTACTGCTTGTGCTCGCGAAGGGAAGTCTTTGTTGATTTCTCTTTTGCGTTGGATATCATAACTGGTGCGGCAAGTCTCTGCATATCCGTGACTACGGAGCTCTAGCCGCCTGCAACGGACAAGGAAGCTCGGAAACGCGCTACTCTGACCCGGGTTTTTCTTTGGTCGGTCGGCCCCGGAGACTTTTTCTTTAAACAAATAAATACACAGCGCAAACACGCTGTAAAGCAAGCGGCGGGATCGCACAAAACAGCACCCCCTTTTTATATTTAAGGGCCAAGAATAAAAAGGTTTATAAAATATATGTTGTAAATAAAACAACGAAAAAAGAGGAGGGAGGGAAAATTAAAAAGACAATGTCCTTCAAACTCCCCAGCAATATCCCTTCCTTCTCCTCCTCCCAGCGCGAGTATGAGGACGGCTACTGGCGCGCTACAAGAGCCAACGTCGACAACCACGGTTTCTCCTTCACCAGCTTCATGAACCCGGACAGCAACAGCAATCCGCCCATGTACAAAGACAAACCACATTACGCCTCACGGCGGGTCCGGAGACGGCGAAAAATTACCTGGGTATTGGCTGGGTTGGTGTTCTTGGGTATTGTGTGGGTGCTTGTGCATATGACGGCACCGGGGAAGGCGGTGCGAATGAAAACTACTAAGCATGGGGACAATTTGTGGAAGTGGATGAGAGCACTGGAGAAGGAGAAAGGGGGGTTGTTTGAGGGGGATGAGAGGGATGGAAAGGGAGTGGTGGATTGGGCGGCGAGAAGGGAGAAGGTTCGAGATGCGTTTATCATTAGTTGGGACGATTATGCGTCCCATGCTTGGGGTAGGTCTCTCCTCACAGACAACTCTCTCCCCTCCCCACTCTTTTGTGATGAGGAAACTCGTGTTGGATGTTTTAGGAGAAATGGACAAGTCGGCTGATGATGAACCCTTGATGATGATACTGCAGGCCACGACATATACAAACCGCTGAGCAAGAAGGGTGAAGACATGGTCAAGGGCGGATTGGGCTGGATAATCGTCGACTCGCTGGATACATTGATGATCATGAACCTGACATCCCGTGTGCAAAATGCCAGGAATTGGATCCATACCTCTCTCCGCTATGACCAGGACCATCCTGTCAATACTTTCGAGACGACCATTCGAATGCTCGGTGGCCTCCTCTCTGCGCATTATCTGTCGACGACATACCCCAACCTCGCCCCGATTGCAGGCGATGATGACGGAGCTCCCGGCGAGGATCTGTATATCGAAAAAGCCACAGGTCTTGCTGACCGACTGCTTGGCGCATTTGAATTGCCATCCGGTGTACCATATGCGAGTATTAACCTTAATACGAGCGTAGGCGTAGAATCCCACATGGATTTCGGTGCCTCTTCGACGGCTGAGGCAACCACCCTCCAGCTAGAATTTAAGTATCTTGCGAAACTTACGGGGGAGGCAAACTACTGGGAGAAAGTGGAGAAGGTCATGGAGGTTGTCGAAGCAAATGGAATGGAGGATGGTCTCGTTCCTATCTTTATTGAGCCAAGTTCAGGAAAATTTATGGGCCAGAATATCCGGCTGGGGAGTCGCGGGGACTCGTACTACGGTGAGCTCAAGCGGCTTTGTTCTTTCAATGTCTCCTTGTTTGTGTTTTGGCCATCATACTGACAGCTAGATGATACCATAGAATACTTGATTAAACAGTATCTCCAAACTTCTCGTGAAGAGCCGATCTACCTTGATATGTGGAATGAAGCGCTCATGGGCATCCGCGAACATCTTGTCACATATACGAAACATGCTTCTCTCACAGTCATTGGCGAGAGGCCGAACGGTCTCAAACATGAGCTGGTTCCAAAAATGGACCATCTCGTCTGCTTCATGCCCGGCACCATCTCCCTCGCCGCGACAGGTGGCCTGCCAATCTCCCAAGCTCGGAAGACCCCAGGTTGGGGCCACAAGCAAGAGGAAGAAATCCTCCTCGCCAAAGAACTCATGAAAACCTGCTGGGCCACTTACGTCGCAACAAACACAGGCCTCGCGCCGGAAATCACCTATTTCGAGATCGACGACCCACCCCGTATGATGAAAAATGTGTTCCCGGACTTACGCAAGAACCCCGCTGCTGCCAAATCTGCCAAAGCAGATTTGCACCTAACATCCAAACCCCTCTATCCACTCACGGACGCCAACAGCGCGTGGCGCAAGGACGTCGTCATCATGCCGCAGGACAAACACAACCTCCAACGCCCCGAGACCGTCGAGTCACTGCTGTACATGTACCGCATCCTCGAAGACGACACGTACCGGCACTGGGGCTGGCAGATGTTCAAGAACTTCGTGAACCACACCTCAATCAGCGTGCAGGATAGAGACCCGCCGATCCGCGACCCGCACAATAAGAACGCAGATCTAGAGGCCAAGCGGAGGATGCCCTCGTCTCACATACGGGCGTTCACGTCGCTGGATAATGTCGATGTTATACCTGCGGCGCAGAGGGATAACATGGAGAGTTTCTGGCTGGCGGAGACGTTGAAGTATTTCTACTTGTTGTTTTCGGACAGGGAGTTTTTGCCGTTGGAGGCGACTGTGTTTAATACGGAGGCCCATGTGTTTCCGCGGTTTCAGATGGGGCAGTTGTTTAAGACTGGGTGGAAGCGGAAGCATGGGAAGGGGAGTTGGCTTTCGTAACTTTTGGCGTTCTGCTTATTTTCTTTTTGGTTGTTTCATGGCATTTTGTGCATGGTATTGACGAAGGATTCATTTCGGTGTTCTAGATCTGTATTCTTTTTTTTATTTTCTATGTCTTGTACTGTCTTTTTCTTTTCCGTCCTAGGTTCAATGAATTGGCTGGATTCCCCTCACCTTCTGCATGGATATATATATGTTGTGGATATCTCAAAGCTTTGGTTTTTTTCTCGACTTTTCCCTCCGATTTTATTAGGACACATGAAGATTGCAAACTATTTCTTTTTCCCTGAAAAAGTTTTTCTCTTTCTCTTTCCTCAGTCCTCCCATGAGCTACCACCACCTGACGTGCATCATTTTCGCCGTTCCATATAGGGCATGCTGTGTTGATTCTGCATCTCTCGTTCTCCTGAACTGGTTAGAGACACCTACTCTCTCCCCTTGCATCGCGGGCAGCGCGCTAGCTAGGGCGGTGATAGTCATATCTCAGGTCCTCAAGTTCCAACAAACTTGTCAGGACAACAGCGGATGAGCCCTTCGCGGGCCATCGTCCTCAATCCAGTCACTCACCATTCGCTATATATGTGCCTATTGGCAGTTTTGCCGTAGTATAGATAGAGCGCATACGAGCCTGGGACGGTGCTGGATTTGTTACTCCGGGGACAAATATCTGCTCCGGCAAAACTTTTCCTTCTGCCGTTTATCGAGAACCCAATCTTACTCTTCGTGGAAGGCTGTTTTTTTGGGTTTTTATCTTTTCGCTTGGTTTTGTTCAAGCTATGTATGGTATTTAACAAAGCCATGTCATCAGGAGCCGCCAGTCACTTGAGTCACTTGGGGGCCCCCCCCAGCCAAGGGGGGAAAGAAAGAAAGCGCCTCTGAGATTTGCATCTGGCTAGCTCTACCTCATTCGTGTCGGGAAATCTTCTCATCTGCCATTCGACTGATGTTTATTTGGATTGGATAGAGATGTCGGACAGTGCGACGAGTGGACATGGAGTTTGGAATGAAGCGTGTTTATTGATCCCTAGTTGTAGATTCGATAGAGCAAACAACTAATGGATAGGCAGGGCATCAAGCTAGATAATGGAGACCATGAATTGCGATTGAGTCATTCGGAGGGACATCAGGTAATATTATATTCTGACCCAACTCGGTCAAAAGTCTATGTGCAAGTTTACGCAGCTCGCATTGAGCTAGATAGATAGCCCTATCTGTAAGCAAATGAGGCGTGGGTATAATCAAATGCCAAAGAAGCAGGACAGAGAGACCTTCATAATGCTTTGAAAGTCCGTGAAGTATGATCCCTGAACAGAGTCCGAAAATGGGGAGTATATCCCCCCCTACCCTCACCCTCCCCCCGCCCTAAAAAAAAGGCGGAAGAGACAACATATCTGAAGCCCATTTGATATACCCCAAATCTAAACAAAAGCAAAAGCATTAACGTCCTTTAACCCCTCCTAACCGCTGCATCAATCAACTTCGCATATCCCTCAACCGCCTTCTCTAAATCGCCCACTGTAAGCGCCTCATCAACGCCGTGTGCCACAAGGATAGTTCCCGGGCCATACAGGTATCTCTTGACCTTAACATCGGAGTCTTCATCATGGATGTCCAACTTCGGGATATCGGTCCCGTAATTGACCGTCAACAACTCAAAACCATCAACATCTGTATCCAAATCGACAGGCGGGTAGGCCTTGCTATCGGGGAATGTGATGGTTATATTCTTGCTTCCGCCACAGGCGTCCGCGACCGCCTTGCGAATGATATTCTGTGCATCTTCTATCGTGCCGGCCGCAAGACGGACGGCGACGCTAGCAGACGCAGATTCCGGCACGACGTTGCCCGCCGCGCCACCCTTGAGTATACCGATGTTCAGCGTCGTGCGGCCATATTTCTCGCTGGCGGGCAGCCCGCCGTCCTTGACGGGGATATCACCCAGTTTATCAATGCGCTCAAGCACCGGGAGAATCTCCGAGATGGCGCTGTGGCCGAGCCAGGGGTAACCCGAATGGGCGGAGACGCCCCTTGCTTCGACGTCGAAGCGGAGGTTGCCCTTGTGGCCGTCGACCAGCTTGAGCTCCGTCGGCTCGCCGAAGATGAGCGTGTGGAAGAACGGCGGAGTGGTGTTGAGATCCGAGTCGGAGAAATGTACCATGCCCGTGCCGCCTGTTTCCTCGCTGACGACGAACAGGAGACCTAGTGGCACGTCGGGGTGCTCCTTCAGATGGCCCAGGGCTGCAATGATCATTGCGGCGACGCTGGCTTTCGCATCCACGGTGCCACGGCCCTTAATGGTGATGTTGGCGCGATCAAAGTCACCCTCCGGCGCTTGGAGGCTATAGTCAATGTGCGGGGGAACAGTATCAATATGGCTGGTCAAGATGATCTTGGGCTTCGGCGACCCTTCTGGATAGGCCCAGATGTTAAAGCGCTTGTCGGTGCTGTCGTCATCCTCGTCGACGGGGACTATTTGTTTTTCGGTGGTGAAGCCATTTTCACCCAGGTATTTGATCAATGCTTCACCGACGGCAGATTCATGGCTGGAGACCGACTCAATCTGGCAGATCGTGCGGTGGAGGGACAAGAGCGGCGAACTCGAGATTATCTTTTCCAGCAGGTCTTCATCTTGAGCGTTTGCGGCAGCGGCGGCGGCGACGCTCATTGTGTCGGCTCTGATGATATCCTGACTCACGTAGCCGGCTGCTACGGGAGCGACCGTCGATGCGGACAGCAGCGCTGCGAGATTCGAAAGCTTCATGCTTGGGCCGATAGGCGCTCTTTGACCTTTTGAGTTCAGCGCAAACCAGGGTTTGAGGTACTTGAAGGTCGGGCGAATGGACGCCTTTATATGCTTGGTCCTCCTTCCACTGCGACCAATTGAACAAATCGCTCTATTAATATTGTTGTTGTTTGTTGTTATTGTTGTTGTTATTGTTATTGCAGTTCCATAGCGTCCACTGCCCCAGATGTAACGTCGACGGAGAAAAGCCAAAAAGCTGGAGGATATTAAACCCCTGTTCTAGCTAGCTCGCTGTTCGACCCCAATTATTGAGCAAGCTTCATCGATTGGGCGTATGCAAAGGACAACCGCCGACGACAGTTCCGCCCTGTTCGATCAATTGCTGATCTGGGCTCTTGGGACGGTATGGAGCGTGCAAAGCTGCCCGCCAAAGCCGCAGATAGTGGAGTGAGCGCCCCGGATCGATTCGAAAAGAATGCCATTGTGGGGGCGAAGCAACACGGCGCACTCTGGCGCTTGCTAGCGGATCGGCAAAGCAGGATTTAGGAGCGGGATCTACAGAGCAAGGGCAAAAAGCCCAAGGGAAATATTGTCGTTCGGTTGATGTTGTTGCCGATAGAGGTGAGCAGGGCGGCGGATACAGCACATACATTGCCCTGACAGCGAGGATATTTCACGAAGATGAATAATAACATCTATCAAAAATGCTACGGGTATGGCAGTATTCTTGCAAAAGCAGGCGCGCAACCGGTATCACAGGCACGCCAATGACGCCCTCGACGGTGATAATAGCTACGACATGAAAAACCACTGGTTGGGGACATATAGCTGTAGCCCTGTAAAGCCATAGACGGTTATCTAATAGGAATGCTCCGCAGGCTGCTCTAACTGAAAGGCAAACTCCGGCCTTGTATCCTCAGCTAAGATGCCAAACACCAATAGATCACAAACAGAAAACAGAATATTCTCCGTCCTACTACTTCCCGCAGACAAAAAATAGGCCAACAGGTTTAAACTAGATGCTGGTGAAGCAAGTGAAGCAATCGGGGGGAGAGTTCCCACAACAACACGTCATATACGGCAAACATGAATTGAGCATAAACAAAGAGAGGCCAAGGGCGATATCCAGAGCTTGCGGTTCAAAAGTGGGCGAGAGGACAAACAGCGGCGTGGGGCCGGTCGTCATCTCTACCACAGATTCGAAAGGGGAAATAAAAAGACATCCCTTCGAAGTGAGCAGACGGCCCTACCATATATGCTGTGGCGAGGTGGGCAACATTGCACTGTACAAGCTGCTCGTCGAACCCGTGGCCCTGCTTCCACCTATGTCATTATTTCTTCTTCCAACGGCTTCGTCCACTATTAACACATTCGCATTTTAATAATCACTGAATCCTGGGTATCCTAGAGTTTTTAATTCTTGAAAGGGGCGACCACCCTCTATCCCCCAGACGTTCTAAGAAGAAGCGGGTTGGGAAAAGATGGGAGGAACAAAAAAAATAAAATAAAATAATAACGGGACATGTTTAGAAGGTGCAGTTCACACACAAGTCCCACAATCCCCGTCCCGAAACATGGATTATAGCAGGAGAAACTGTGCTGAAATCAGAGGAGAAATACCCAGCACCCCCCCCTTTTCGATTTCGCTCCTCTCTCACATCTCCCATGATTCACGGTTGCCGCAAAATTCCACAATCAGCCTTTCCAGGTCGGCCAATTTGTATGGTTTCGTCATATAACCTTCCATCCCCACTTTGGTAGCTCGGCCCAACGCCTCATCCGTGACATCCGCACTGACTGCTAGGATAGTCGGGCTGGGTGGTAATAAAACGTCCGGGTTCGCACTCCGCATTCTATCACGATGACTCCCAACCATATCCAGTATTTCCTCCGTCGCCTGATATCCGTCCATATCGGGCATCCAGAGATCCATGAGGATGACGTCGACAAACTTCGATTTGGGCACCTGCTTGATAGACGGCTCGTTGAATGTTGACATTTGGCAGTCTTCTATGAGCGACGTTATCGTGTCAGTGCTCATTTCCGAGACACTTCGACTAGAAGGGCTTCGCGGGGGTGGTCCTGGGTCGGGGACAACGTCGTTCAAGATCATCTCGCTCATAATACGAACAGCTTCTTTCCCGTTGAAAGCCTCATATACATCGTTGTATCCCAGCTTCGCAAGCATACTAACGAGAATTCGTCTATTGATTTTGTTGTCTTCGGCTACAAGAAACGTGAGAGGGTGTTTGTCCGCAAGATGGCGGTCATAGCCATTGGAGCTAAGAAGGGCGGAACCGCCACGCGATGAAATCGATAGGCGACGTGAGGGTCCCAGCCAACCCCCGTTTGTGAAGCTCGAGCTTGCTCGAGCTGGTGCCGGGCGGTTTGAAGAAGGATCTGACGGGACGGTTTCGGAACCATTCCCAACCGATTTAGGCCCATTTGTTTGACTGTCGCAATGCGAAGATGGGTTCGAATTCGATTGGGAAACAGTGCACTCGTCGCGTTGGGGCGAGGTTGGCGGGCTGACACTGTCGTTGGGGCTTATGGGTAGCCGGATTTCGAATTCAGATCCACGATCTGGTTCCCTCGTCGAAGAACGACGGCATCTTAAATCACCGCCAAGCTTCCTAGACAAGCCCTTGGCGACTAACAGTCCGAGTCCCAAGCCTTCCTTGCTCCTCGTTGTAGAGTCGTCTTCCCGAGCAAAAGGCTGGAAGAGGTTTGGAAGAAAGTCCTCTGGAATACCGGTTCCAGTATCGCTGATATTAATTAAAACGCACTTGCCCGAACTACTCAACTTTGTAACAAGCGTAATGTTTCCAGACTCTGTAAACTTGAGAGCGTTGATAAAGACGCAGGACACCAACTTGGTAAAGTCTCTTTCGTCGACATATAAGATATCCGGCACTGACGGGTCGACAAACCAATCGATAATCTTTGTCGAAGCCCGTCCATTTGAAGATCTTGACCTAATCTCGATTTTTTGCCCAAACATGTTCGGCTCAACGAAAGCGGAATCCGGACGGCCTCCTACATGGAGTGATTCGTGGATAAGCGGTTGGAGTATCTCACGGATTTTGGTGGATTGCAGTGTCATCGGAGGGAAAACCTTGGGTTTAACGTATATGCCAGAACACGAAAACTGCTCGGGGATTGAAGCGCGTCGTGCATTGATCAAAGCTTCTTGGACTTCGTTGTCTTCCTCGACTCGCGGGCCGGCTTGAACGATTTTGTCGCTCTCTTCAACTACCGTCTTGACATCTGCGCTTCGGGGTGAGAGTTCTCGTCGACGTAATCTGGGTGATCTGGATCCTGACGGAGGGCTATAATTCCAATCAACTGGACTACTCCTTCTACGCTTGTATGGATTTACAGAAATGTTGTTCCCTTCGATTAGGATATTCGGACGAGTATCGTATTCTCCACTATACGACCGCAAAGAAGCCCCAGTACTTTGCTCACCAGCCTGGTTCTGGGGTGTTTCAGGTATTTGCATATTTAGATCGTAAGCATGCACCACATTATCGGCTGCCTCCACTGCTCTTCGAACGCTATCTGTAACGTTGTACCAGGCCATTAACACGACTTGACATCCAAAATAATGGAACGGCACCAACTACGCTAAATATCGAAGACGGAACTAACCTTGGATTGCCTCAATGTTATCTTTGAGCTCCTGAAACACGGGAATTACTCCTGCTGCATCGAGACGCTTGTCCATTGCTTCTTGCACGTTGGCATGCATTACATCCAGCATCCCAACCACCCCTTGCATCGGTGTTCTTAATTCATGGGATAGGCTCCGTGCATATGGTTTGAACGACTGTGAGCCCGTCGTGGAGTGATGATAGACCGAGGGTCTACTTGCTTTTGCTCTGCCTCTTCGCTGTTGTTCGTCTCTTTTCTGGACGAGCATTGGCTTCTTGTAGTTCTGTTCGTCCAGGATGCGGTGTTGTACAAAGTCCTCCAAGGAATGTAGGATCATCTCAAGATATGCCCAGGAGACATCACGCTTCGCTAAACCTTCAGCGGTCCACATCAGCCCAAAATGAGCAAAACATTTTCCACCCGAGAACAAAGGGACAGCCAAGTAGGCATCCATTGGGAATGGGAGCATATTTGGGCCATTGCTTATGTATGAAGTCAAGTTTTCCGGGATGAGGAAAACCTTGTCGTGCTTCATGAAGTCACAAGGTATATCCCGAGCGAAATGCTTGTAGTTTCTGTGCATCGCTGAGATCGAGTCGCCATTGTTATAGTACAGAGCGATACCTATATAGGGAGAATACTCATGGGTTTCAGTGGCTGACATCACAGTATCGTAGCCATTCTGGAATGGGGCCGGCTGGGGATTTGCGGAGGCTACAAACGAGCATTGGGCATTGCAAATCGCTGCTACTCCTTCTAGCAACCGTTTCCAAAATGTCTCGGTCTCAGCATCCCTTAATTCTTCCTTGAGTCTTAGGAGACGTTCAATCGCATTGCTCTGTCCAACCTCATAGTGTTTCATCATTCCGCTGAGAAGCTCCGGCTCTCCGCTAGAAGTCAGGCCTGGTGGATAAAGGGTCTGGCGATTAATGAAAACCGAATCTACGAATTGGCTGGAGGGATTTGGTCCAAAAGTACTATTCGACATTGTCCCGCGAACCTTGCGACCTCATATAGCCCCGACAATCTCTATTCTCGGGGATGGAAATGGAATCGGGAAATATTATTGGGGTATCGAGAACTCGAAATGGCTAGAAAATCGCCTTCCTTGACAACAGTAGAATGTACAGAGCATGCTCATCAGTCACAGAAAAAAGCTCATTCAATATTCGAGTACACACACAAGTCCGGTATCCGGCGTAGTTTTGCGGTTGGAGGTGCAAGAGTAAAAGGGAGACTGCGGATCTGGATCTGGCCGCACTACCTGCTTTCTTCGGGGACATTCGGATAGCTAGGAGATATCAATCCAGGGCAACCTAGGTAGATAACGGACTCTGGATGATGAGGAAAAGTGGTCGTGCGCCGCGCTGCTACCAGACTGCAATAATTCGGCGGTCGAGGTGAATAGCAATCAGTGGGAGGAAGCCAAAAAACGATGCCTTGGGGGAAATATATAAGGAGGATAACAGATAAAAGCAACGACACGGAACAGAGCCACAAGGACTGGGGAAATACACCAACAATGAGCAATGCTGCTGGTTGTCTCCAGCCGGGCGGAATAGGTGTGGAAGCGGTGTTGGAGGACGGAGACGGCGCAAAGAGGGGCACGCGAAGGGAACCAGCCGCCGACCATTTAATTAATTAATCGACAACGACGTCCGTGAATAGGGGGAGACCACCACCAACCACTACGACTACCACGACGACTTGTGCTCACTAGTTATTACTGTTGGGGACACCCACGACGGTGGCATAACCTGGTCTGTCGCCGTATTCTCCTCTTACTACGGAGTATAGTTGCTATTATCATTGCGACGAGCAGGGGTAAGAATGACGCAGTTGGCCGCAGTGGAACACCCAGCGGTGTCTCCAGTATATACTGCTTCCTCTCGTGCAAAGAAAGCAACGGAGGATTCTCCAGGCCAATCCTTCACCAAATGATGCTAACTATTTATCCTGTTTACCCCCAAAATCTAGGTCAAGGACTCTCTCGCTCGCCCCCCTCCCCCTGTCCGTCAACTTGGCCTCGCGCTGTGCACGGGATACTAACGAGACCAGGTCCCGCCTGGACGCATTCGATTTTCCTTCGATCATGAAGTGGCAATCCATGGCTGGACACACTCTTGTGTTTCCACAGACCACCAGCCGCGGGATGCTTCGAATATCAAGCCCCCAGAGCCAAGAGTTCAGCGCCTCCTCGTTTCCCCGCATGGATTATGAGTGCTTGAGCTCTGGGTTTCGGTTTGGCCCTTCAATCGCGACAGTGCTTGGACGTTGTTTCGCCCTAGCGCGGGTTTAGCCTTGAACTGCAAAGTTGGACGGGGAAGCACGGATCGAAGCCCCGTGGCTGGACTGGCGATCATCAGCCTTCAGGATTAAAAAGAAACAACAGAGCAAAAAGGGACAGTGGCAAATAACCACAACGTGAGCCTGGAATTGCATAGTGTATCTGCTGACCATCAACTCCGTACAGAGTATTCTGTACGAGAAGTTACGATGTACGCTGGATTTTTTAAAACTTCCCTGGATTATCGATTTCTGCTAGCATGCCTATGTGGTCGCAGAAAGCCGCTCCAGGAGAACAGGCCTCTGCGTCTGGACCTTATCGACCAAGAAAATATTGGCGAACCATGCATCAACTGGCATCGTGCATCCAGAGCAAAAATTTTCGTACGGTAATGTTGGTGGACATCAGAGCAAGGGTTTACAGTAAGCTTGTGCTTGTGCTTCTGTAGGCAGAGATGGGAGCTTTGAGAATCTGCATGACGCTGATCCATAGAGCATGATTT